TATATATATATATATTCAAAAACTCTACAGTTAAGATTTTATTTTTTTAAAATGACAACCATCATCTTTATTATTATTTCTTATTGTTTTAAAATTTGACTCAGAGAGAGACAGAGAAAGTGTAAGGGAAAATGAGAAGGCAAGCCACCAGGTCCAGGACTCAAGCTGCTGTTTACCATGTGGGAGTCCAGTGCCTTAACCATCATGCTACCTGCCAGCCCCAAGATTTGGTATTTTAAGATAAGTTTTACCATAAAAAAATCCAATGCACCCACCCTCATCTTTTGTGCTTCTCCTCTCACATAAATATCACTGGGAGTACCGCCACCTATACATCATCAGCATGGGCTTACATACATACTTGCATCAAAGAAGAATCTGAGGTAGCCCAAGTGGAAGCATTACCACCTCAGAAAAACAGACAAAGATATAACCATCTTCATGCTAAGCTTGAGTCAGCATGAGTGTTGTGGGAAATGAGGGCACTCTGGAGCAAACAGCCTCACAGGTCTGGATGTATTCTTACCTCTGGAATCCACAGGGCACAGCTGACATGAGCCCATTTATCCCCTGTCCTGGTGGTCTTCATGGCTCCACCAGTCTTTGGACATAACAGACACTGAGGATGAATGCCCATGACACAGGCACGACATAGCCAGCTGCCTTCTGGAACCTTAAGGATGCCATAGCAGGCCTAGAAGCATGAGGAAGAGAAGGGAGAATGGTCAGCAATGTCTCAACAGGGACAATGCTGTTCTGATACATACTCACAGAACATGCTCCACTTTTGGTAGAAGGGCAAATAAAACAATATAAGCTTATTTCCAGGATTTAGTCATTTTAAAACACTCAAAAAAGCAACTTCTAACATTGATCCTAAGATTAGCATGTCTGTCCATGAGAACTGACTCTAAGGATGATAGAGCAAGTCTAGAAAGAGATGCACCAAAAGGCTACCCCAACTGTTATTTGCATGTTAGGATTATAGATTTTGTTCTTTCCTATGTTTTCTAAAGCTTCTTCAATGATTATGTATTATAATTGATTGAACACTTACTGAACAACTATATACCATGTACTGTTGTGATCAAGAAAAGAAAGTGTTAGAAAATAAACAGAAGGGGACCAGCAGGTGGCGTGATGGTTAAGGCGCTGGACACTCCCACATGGCCAACCAGGGTTCGAGTCCTGAATCTGGTGGCTTGCTTTCTCACTTCCTCTCTCTCTCACTCTCACCCTCTCTCTCACTCTGGTCAAATTAAAAAATAAATGAGTGAATAAATAAAATAAAATAAATAATTAAAAAAAGAAAAGAAACAGAATGAAACTTCTCAGAAACAAAAGAGCTAAAATTTATAAAGAGCTTAATAGTGCCTGACAAATATAAAGCACTCAGCATATCATAACAATTATTTGCTTGGGGTTGAAAAAAAGAGATTTGTGAATGGATTTTGACTAGACTATCATACTAATCACAACAATACATAAAGTGTTCTGGAAAACTCCTTTGGGAATGAAGTTGTACAAATAAACAAATGAATTGCTGGGGGAAATGGGAGATTATTTTAGAAAACATTCTAGACTTCCTTTTCATTATTCCCAATTCCCCCCATCCTTATCTCCTCACTACTTCATTCTTACTATTAAGAGACTAAACCTGGGGGACATCTGGATTCCCATGTGGCCTGGCACATTATCCACCACTGAATAACTCAGCAAATTAAAAAAAAAAAATCTCTGCCTGCTCCAGAAAATTCAATCTCAGCTCAGATTTAAGTTCTAATAGTTATCATCATATTCACTTCTACCTTACATCCTTGGCACAACCTGCTCCTTTCCCAAACTCCCTCCTTCCATATCACCACCACCTTGCTTCTTATCTTCCAGATCTAAATTCCTGGACTCATATTACCCACTTCCCTTCATCCACTGTACTTAGAGCTTGGAGTCTTTCCCACAGGGTGACCTCAAGACTCTAACCTTCCTCTCCATTTCCACCATAACCTCTTTACCTAAGCTCTCATCACACAAAACCTGGATTGATTCTAAATTCCCTTTTTCTTCCTTCACACCTTCAACCCTTCCTCTATTTATTTCATTTTAGTTTAGCTAAAGAATGCATGTCCTTGGGAACCAGCAGTTAGCGTAATGGCTATGTCGCTGGACTCCCACGTAGTCGACCGCGGTTCGTGTCCCGGACCCAGTGGCTTAAAACTCACGCCGGGCTCTCCCGAGAGGAGAATGGAGGAGAGGGGATTGCGGCGTGACCATCCCCTCTGGGGGGTGATTTCTCGCTTTCTGTCTCTATGTCTCTCTGTCTGTCTGGCGAGCACACGCGCCCTACAGTGAAAATCTCTCAAAAAAAGAATGCATGTCCTTGCCAGAGAAAGAGGGAAAGTGAGAAATCACCCCCTAGGGGGGATGTCATGCTGCAATCCCTTCTCCTCTATTCTCCCTTTGGGATTCTGGGTATGCATGCACATATGCCTGGCATGTTTTTCAAGCCATTGGGTCCAGGGCTCAAATTGTGAAGTTGACCAAGTGGGATCCACCACCCTAAAGCCACCATGACACCTGCTGGCTACCCTTCCTCTATATGACTTCTAGATTTTTTAGATTAAGACAAAGATCATATGATTGCACAGCAGCAAACACTCCAGGGATTTCTTCTGTTCTCATATTCCCACATCTCACTTAGGGGTTGGCTACTGTCAGAGCCTATTTTGTAAGGCCAACAAGCTAAGAATGTTTTTCATGTTTTTAAAGGATTATGAAAAGAAGAAGGAACAGAGATTAGGTGGCCCACAAAGTTTGAAGTATTTATTTGGCCCTTCAAAGAAAAAGTTTGGAGCCCTGATCTGAAGCCTCCAGCCCCTCAAACCTCACTGTCTTCCCTCATTCTGTACCCTATCTGAATACAGGGTTTCTGACTTAAACAGGCCTCCTTATTTTCACCATAATCAGTCATTTAAATTCTCACATCCACGTGTCTGTCTAAGCATCTTCCCTGCTCTACACAGATAACTCCTCTTTGCACAGTTAGAACTTTTTCACCCTTACCAATCTGATCAAGTTTTAGAATACTCATCAGATCACTGTAGCACTTTGTGTCTGCCCCTCTGATTCCCATCCTCCACTCCACAGGATTCCCTTTATCAAGTATACAGCATCATGAATTCTTTTTTCTCTACTTTGTTGTTGTGTTTCATGTCCTCAGTGAGATTATAAGGTTAATGGGGGCACAGCTTTTATCATAAACTTACCTGGAATGCCTCCCATGCTAAGCTTGAGAGGTGGTTTGGTAAAATGAATTTAGTTTAAGCACTGAAGCTGGTCTCCAACTAGGCTGCTCTCATGACAGCAGAACATTATTTTACAAGGTATCTAACCTTCAAAGATATTCTTTCTCTGAGGCCCAGAATGTCTGCTCAGAAATGAAAGCAATCTTCCTTCCTAAAATAGAGCCTCTTTTAGACTGGCCGAAGAGAAGCCAGTGGTTGGTTCTGGGAATATCCTTTGTCTCCTGACCATTCCATAGGGCAGAAAATAATTTGTAGAGCCCTTTTGTAAACTTATTCTTGGTCATAAGATAATAGAAGCTGTATTTCATAGCAGTGCTTTTTGACTTTCTGTAGATCACTAAATCAAGAGGCTTGTGGACTCTTGAAAAATTGCACATACACACTGCAATGCCTTCTACATATAATACCAGAGGGTTAATAAACTTGGTGTCAAGGTGTCTTCAAAAAGCTCATGGAGAATGTGTACTAAGAAAAATTCTATGCATGGATTTAAAAAATTTGGTAACAAAGTTAACTTATTATTTTAATTCCATTTTTTCATGAACTTTTTGAAGTCCTCTTATATATATGATGATATAAAAACCATAAGAGCGTGCACCTTCAGGCAAATTAACTCAAGTCTTTTTCTTTTATTTTTTGGCTAGATTAAAAACATATGTCACAGGAGATGTATATTTGCTGGAGAGATAGAGAGAGAGAAAGAGAGAGAGAGAGAGAGAGAGAGAGAGAGAGAGAGAGAGAGAGAGAAAGTGAGAAAGCAACCCTTAGTGGGTGATGGCCATGCTGCAATCCTTTCTTCTCCATTCTCCTCTCAGGATTTTTGACTTGCATGCACATGTGGCTGGCATGTTTTTTTCAAGCTGCTGGGTCTGGGACTCAAACTGCGCAGTTGGCCATGCAGGATGCTGCCACCTTATCCATCATACCACCAGCTATTTTTTTTTTTTTATGCCAGAGAATGTGTGAATGCCAGAGAGCGAGAGCGAGAATGTAGGCGAATGAAAGCACCTTCTCAATGTGGCAATGGGGCTAGGTCATGCCATAATCACCTTTCCTCTATCCCAGTGAGCATTCGATATTTGGGCTAAGAAGTAGGAAATGGTGGGCCAGCCAGGTGGCATGACAGTTAAGGTGGCTGGATTCCCACATAGCCTACTCTGCAGTTCAAGTCCCAGTCTGGAAGGCTTCAGAAACATGCTGGGCATGTGTGCATGCATGCACAAAATCCCAAGAAGAGAATGGAGGAGAAAGGATTGCAGTATGGTCATTCCCCCTGGGGGAGATGCTTTTTCACTTTTCTTCTCTCTTTCTGTCCCCATTTCTCTCCCATGAGTGCGCATGCCCTATATATAGCAATTTTTAAAAAAACAGTACAAAATGGATACACATAAAAGGACTTGGAATGGTCGTCTATATTTTTTTAAAGAAAAAATTTAAAGTTCATGGTTAAAAATATAGTCTACTGATGTACGCTTCTTTTTAAAGTACTGATCATTAGTTTATTTTCACCATGGAGGAACAAAGATGGGACATGATATGGTGGCAGAAGAAAAATCATGTTTAATAAATCCAGATAGCGACACATCTCCCTTTTGTTACGGAATAAACCACAAGTTCCAAATCATTTTAAGTCATGTTTCAATCAACAGAGGGAGCTCTAACCTAAATACTGCTTTAGAATCCAAGTGAATATACTCACTTTGGAATAATGTTTTTTTTTTTTTTAATTTGCCAGAGGGTGTGTGCATTTGCCAGAGACAGGCTGAGAGACACACAGAGAAAGACAGAAAGCAGCCCCCTCAATGGGGCACAGTCATGTTGCAATTCCTTCTCCTGCCTGTCGAGATTTTGGGTACACATGTACATGTGTCTGGGATGTTTTTCAAGTCACTGGGTCTGGAATTTGAACCACATAGTTGGCCATGTGGGATCTGGCTCCCTTAAACACCAGGCCATGAGGATGGCTCTGGGCCTGTCCCTGGAATAATCTTTTATATGAAACTTTATATAGTACCATTATCACAACTTTAATACATACTAGTTCATATTCTGGAAGGCCTGGTCAGTTACCATTATCCGATGTGAAGAAGGGGCATCACTTACAGTCATTATTGGATATGTTTTCAAAACAAAACACCCTTAGGGAGAATTACTAGAAACACTTAATTTTGTTAGTCAAACAATATGAATATTTTGTCTCAACCATAAAGGACAAATATAAAGACTAAAAATGGCCACATATTGGGTAAGTTCTGGTATTGTTCCCAAATCAATTCTGGTGCAAAATTTCAGGAAAACCATGTCGTTTTCAGAGCATCATAAGTTTGGAATTGCAGAGAAGGCACTGCAGACCTGTATTATCAGATACTTAAGTTTACACTTAAATGGTAAAGATTTTCTACTCTCACTAAAAGTATGACATAAATGCCAATAATCAGTAAGGTGAAGGTAAGTTTTCAAAATTTTACTATTTTAAAGGACACAGGTAAATGAAGAAAAAGACTCAATTAATCACAGAGTAATTCTGATTATCTTCTACTGGGTCATCAGATAAGTCATGACACATTTTTTCATAGAGAAACAGAAAAATACATCATGACTTTTCTGATGACCCAATACATACAGAGGGTTAGGTTAGATGGTTCAGGGAATTAAAACTGTTATAAGCCCTGGTCTCTCTCTCTCTCTCTCTCTTCCATCATCTATTTCTAGTCATTTTGTAGCCAGAATGATCTTTTTAAAATACAAATCATAACATTTAGAGTTGACAGGACAAAATATTGTAGAAGTTCCTGGACTGGCTCTGTGTTGTATGGTAATGTGCTGCTCAAGAGAAGCTGGATCCCACATGGTAATTTTGGTTTGAATCGCTGTCCCGGTTAGCCTGAAATACGCTGAACACATGAGTGAGGGCCCAGGATCTGACATGTTGGAGGACTGGAGGAAAGGGATCAAAATGTGGCCAAACCCTGTGGAGGGTGTGCCTCCCTCTCTCTTTCTCTCATGTGTGTATGTACATGATGTAGCATAAGTAAAGAAACATATCTATAAAAATTTTCTTTAGTTTGTCAGAAGGTCCTTTCCTGGAATCCCTTGTAGCCCTCTCTACCCTCACTCTCCATGCCTTCCCTACTCTGCTTCCTTGCCTCTACAGTTCTAAAGCATTCAGATTTGCCTCTGACATACTTTGCCCACTCTCGCCATCCCATCTGAACTTGTTTCTTCTTTGCCTGAACACATCTTGCTGGTTTCTTGACATTTCCTTTTGCTTGGATGCTGTTCCTGGAAGTTGTCTCTGACCCTATTCCTCCCATGTGTTTCTACAGTGGCATGGACTTATATCTACAAGAACACTTAGCATACTATGTCAAGTTGGCAGTGTCTTTGTATAGTCGCTACACCAGACTGTGATCTCCCTGGGGGCAGAGACCATTTCTACTTCTTCAGCACTGACTGTGTCCTCAGTATGCAGCACAGTCCTGGCCCATGGATGATGCTGTATACCTGTTTACTAGATAAATTAAGAAAATGAAACATACGACAAGTTCAGAAGAATAAAAAAATCACTTAGAGTAAGGGTAAGGGAGTTCAAGAAAGGATCTGAACAAGAGCTTGGAAGGTATGTAGATTTTTTTTTGGGGGGGGAGAGGTTTTTGCTATAGGACATGTGCACTTGCCAGAAAGACAGAGACAGAGAGACAGAAAGTGAGAAATCACCCCACCCCCAGGGGGCATGGCCACACTGCAATCACTTCTCCTTCATTTTCCTCTCAGGATCTTGGGCATGCACACATAAGCGCCCAATGTGAGTTTAAACCACCAGATCTGGGACTCGAACCGTGGTCGATCACATGGGAATCCAGTGACATAGCCATTACGTCAACTGCTGGTCCCAGTATGTAGATTTTTTGACAGAGGTGGGAGAAAGCATTGTAAAATTGGGGTGTGGCTGAACCACGGAGGCAGGACAATGTCAGAAACATTTACCACTGCATCTTGAGTAATCTTAATTTGCTGGAGCATAGAACATTTAAGGGGAAAAGAAAACAGCTGAAAAGAGGGTTGATACCATCATTATTAATTACAAAAGCCATATGGTAAAAAAATGATAAATAACTAGCTTAGGTAAAGTCACTTTACCTCTCCTGGTACTGTGTGATCTTTAAAAGTGATGTAGGGTCAGTCTAGTGGCCTAGTGGTTAAGGGAGCTGGTGCCCACGTGGCTATCTGCAGTTTGAATCCCAACCCTGGCCGCTTGAAAAACATGCTCTGTGTGTGAGTATACACACCTCAAATCCCAAAAAGATGGGGAAGCAGAGGAAAGGGAATTGTGGTGTGACCACGCCCCATTGAGGGGTGCTTTCTCTCTATCACTCCACCTTTTCATAGTGAGCACATGCACCCATTGGCAATTAAAAAAAAGAGTAGGGTAGACCTAGCTTCCTGTAAGTGGTATATGTGGTGGATAAGAGAGAGGTCAGAAGTTCCAAGGTAAGGAATCCAGACTTTCATCTGTAGGAAATGTAAACTCATCAAGGTTACTGACCATTGGTGTAACCTGATGCTACCACAGAGATTTGAAGACAAAGGAGAGACTCCTATGCAGGTAGTAAGGAGATCCCCCAGGGAGATTGAACAAGGCAATCCCAATGGTCTGGGAATGAAGTGTCACAAGAAAGACCTGGCTTCAACCTCATTGGGTAAAGTTGTAGGTAAGTCATCTAAAGTATCATAAGAAATATTGTTTCTAGAAATAATACTAAAGAATGGCCAGGCCAAATATTTATTTTCACCTTTAAATAAAATCTGCTACCCAGATATGGGTGCTAGAGATGATCACTGAGCTTTAAAAAGGCTGACCGTGGGGAGGTGGCGGTCTCCACTCTCACTAACCTGATGCACACAGATGTTACACTTATCACAGAATACCATATCATTCCCTTCTTCACTGTCTGGAGACCGGCACACATCACAGATCACATCTTCATCATACTCTATGCCTAGCCCTTCCTCTGTCTTAATAGCATGGTTCATATTTTCATGGCAATGACGTTCCAGGACTTCTACTGTCTTTTCCATAAGAGTCTCATCAACTGGCTCACAACCTGCACAGAAATACAAACAATCAATGAACCCATCAGTCAGCTGTCATTTCCAAATCACCTACTTTGAGCCCAGTATAGGAGTAGGTGGGATTCTAAAGGATAAAACCATTTCTTCTGTGCTTGAAAACAACCAGATTTCAAAAAATTGTTTATTAGAGCTATTCTAACATTTACCTATAATCATATATTAGTGTCTGACACATGAAAGGAAAAATACATTTTACCATATTCCTTATAAGGTATGTTACTAACCCTTTCAATTTTCTGTCTAAATCTTAGCCAGTGTCTTCCTAAATTTCTCTCCATTTTCTCTTATTCTCACTGTGGTGGCTTTGTAATTTTGAACAGCTAAATTTGTAACAGAATAGAATAAAATTATATAACTATATGGACATAAATAATAAGACATTCTTAGCAAATTAGCTTCAATGAGCACACCTAATGGTTATACAAGGAAATATTCATACAAAATGTATTAAGTCATAAAATTTTAAGTACTATGTTTACATGATTATACATATGAAATATTTTGTTTTTCCAATAATCCAATAATATTTTCAGTGGCAAACTATAATATATTATATTTAAACTTATTAACATTCTCAAAGATCTACCTGTAATTATGAAATTACCTTTTGTTCTTCTTGATTTCTTTTTCCTTCTATACTTTTATCTGGTCTTAGCCTTCCACACTTAACCTGACTAAAAAATTCATAAGGTAGGTGTTGATAACCAATTTTTTTTCTCTAGGAGATCCAATGATTTTGTGAGAGCACATATACATTTATTTTAAAAACTTGTAAATTCATGAATAATTCTTAAAATGGTCTCCCCAAAATTAACCCAAGTATTCTATTTCATTTGCAATATAAGATATCCTAAGGAATTTTGTAATCCTGCATAAACTAATTTTTTAAAGTTGTGGCTACTTATGAAACCCAAAAGTACTCAGGCCTTTTGTTTCATTTTTTCCCCTGCAAAGAAAAATTACACATATTTATTTATTTTTTGGAGTAAAGGAGTATAGTATCTTGTTATGAGAAAACTTGAATTCAAATTTCAAGTTCACCTCATATTAGCTATGTAAACCTTGACAAGTTATTTATACCCTTTAGGGCTTATTCTTATCTTTAAAATAAGGACAGTAATACCAAAGTCACTGATTATGCTGTGAGGCTAAGATGAAGTAATGTCTGTACATTGCTTAGTATGGTAATTAGCCTATATAAAGCATTCAATCTTAAAATTCCTTACTTTGAATTAAAAAAGTATTCAATTTAATGTAATTTTAAAAAAGTTTAAGATCCTAGAAGCTGCTCTACAATATCATTCACATAAAAGAAAACTTTTAAAACTCAAACCTAAATACAATGTAGTATCCTAGATAGAATTCTGGAACAGAAAAAGGTCACCAGTGGAAAAATCCGTAGACTCTCAAAAAAGTTTGGGTTTTATTTTAATTAATAGTAATGTATCTGTGTTGGTTTCTTAGTTTTGACAAATATACCACAGTAAAATAAGATATTTACATTGGGGCAATTAATACTGTGAGGTATACATAGGAACTTTTGTATTATGTAGTAAAAGTGCAACTTTTCTGTAAATCAAACTATTCCAAATAAAGTTTATTAAAAAAACTCATCCAAAGGGATCTCGTTACAAGGTGGTTTCATACCAAAGTCAGCATTGCAATGATTGTAATGTTTATGGATACTATGTGCTTCATAAACCCAACTGCATATTGAGCCATCAATCCACTTGATTATGCCCTCATTCTCTGATTTTCCTTCTCTGTCAGTCTTTTAATGCTTTCTCTTTATGGTCCCCAGGATAAACTAAGTATCCCATTTTTCTCTTACAGGGGAAAACAAGAGACATTAAACAAAAAGTTTTAAAAAACTAAGAATAAGGATTGGTTTACTGGTAGAATAACTACCATTCCATGCCAAACTAGATTTAATACAATTTAATTTTTTATTTATATATATTCACATACTAGCCTCAAAAGAAAAAAAAAAAGGCAGCAAGGGAAGAAAAGGTAAACCACTGACCCTCGTTCTGACAATGAAAAAATGTGATTCAAACAAAAATGAAATCAAATGTATCCTTTACTATATCTCCTATGGAGATTTCAAAACCACCCATAGTTTCACAGGAAAACTTGGACCTAAATACTCAGTAGACTGAAAACATGTGGGTATAATATGTGTGTAAGTATAAAGTGACTTTTCTTTAGTCTAGTGTTACTCAGCATTACTGGTATGGTACTGTATGGCACATACTTAATTTGAAGTTATTATGTTTATTGCCAATTTTTTTTTTGCTTGTTTGTGTTTTGTTTTATTTTAGTTTTTGAATACTGTATGACAACTCTGGAATTCACAGAGATAGCTAAGAATTACTATGGGGATGTTTGTTCTAGGCTTGACATTCTTTTTCCAGGCAGCAAAATTAGAAAGTTTTGTATTATGGAGTTTTAGTCTCAGCAACCTGTCACTTGCAGTGGTACTGCCCAGGGATGAAATTAGAGCTTTTCTCCAGCCTCATGGCAGAGGTGCCTCTACCTGCTCACCGATCAGAGTTCTTTTCAGTGCTGAGGCCAGGAACTGGCCTCAGAATTCTTCTTAACCAAAAGTCCAATCAACCATAACCACTCTCATACTCAGATTTGGGAAACAACCTCATGAAACCTATATGCTATCACTGATATGTGCTATTCAGCATGAACAAGAAAAGATCAGATTTAAATATCATCACTCTATTTCAATGTATTTGTGCATTTGAAGAAATACATCTTTAAGGTAAGATCAGAGAGAAAAAGAAATAAAAAGCCCAGAAAAGAAAGGGAACAATGAGATAAAAGCAAGTTCAGGGTACTGATAACTTAAAAGAAAAAAAAAAATCACAACCCAAGTCGAAGCACAACTTACTTGTGAGAAAACTTACCCATTTGTGTAAGGTCTTCATTGAGTTCCTGGAGCCAGAAGATGTCCATGTCATCCAGGTCATAGCGGCATACAGATGCTGCCAGATGCGAGATGTTGATAGAGCCAGGTTCTGTGGCCTCTGGTGTAGAACAGCGGATATATTTCCGAGGTTGAATAAACAAAACATCTTTTTCCTTTTCAGCTATAATCCTTGAAAAGCAAGAGAAAACCACTGATAGCACTCAACAAATGACACATGCTATGCATTGAATGGGTGGGCCCAACAGTACTCAGGTCATAGTAGACAGTAGAGGTGGATGCTCTCTCTCTCTCTTTTTAAATTTGCTGTAGAGCAGTAGAGCATGTGCACTTACTAGGAGAGGAACACAGTAGGAGAGTGAGAAGAATTCCCCTGGGGGGATGACTACGTGGCAATTCCTTCTCCTCCACTCTCTTCTTGGGATTTTGGGCATGCACACACATGATCTAGCACGTTTTTCAAGCAGCTTTTTCCAGGACTTGAACCATGCAGGTGGCTATGTGAGATCCAGCCACCACCTTAACCACTATGCCACCTTGCTGGCCTGGCAGATTCCTTTTTAAAAAGAAAATGCTTCTACAAATTCAGTTTTGTCATCTGCTGTGAACTTATTGATTACTAACAATATAATTCATTCAATCTCATTGATCCTAAGTCTCTACTAACCTTCATTTTTAAAAAAAGTTAACTTCAGTTATTGCTCCAGGGTGCCTGTGCTCGACGGCGGGGGGAAAGAGATCATCCCCCTCCAGGAGGATGGTCATACTACAATCCCTTCTTCTCCATTCTCTTTCTGGGATTTAGGGCCCATACACACATATGCCTAGCATGATTCTCAAGCTACCAGGTCTGGGACTCGAATTGCACAGTTGGCCATGTAAGATCTAGCACCTCAGCCTCTATGCTACCTGCTGGCTCCACCATTCATTCTAATAAGATGTTGCATGTTCTTGGTGTGATAGCCATCCAATTTATTTAGAAGAGGAAATCTGGGAGGGGGTAATATTTATGCAAAGACAAAGCCAGATTCTACACAAAAGATAAATTTCAACTAAGTTCATGGTTTTCTGCCATGGAGAGAAGACTAGATGGTGGTAAAGAATATAGGCATTAAAGTCTCACAGACCTGAGTTTTTTTTTTTTTTTTTTCTTGGTGTGATAGCCATCCAATTTATTTAGAAGAGGAAATCTGGGAGGGGGTAATATTTATGCAAAGACAAAGCCAGATTCTACACAAAAGATAAATTTCAACTAAGTTCATGGTTTTCTGCCATGGAGAGAAGACTAGATGGTGGTAAAGAATATAGGCATTAAAGTCTCACAGACCTGAGTTTTTTTTTTTTTTTTTTGCTACTCACTTGCATGGTATAGGGTTTAGTTTTCTTTGCTAAAAAGTAAGGATAACAATAATAAATTATAATAAAAATAATATGCAACTTGTAAGATTATGATGTTTTTATGAAATAAAATAGATATGTGTTTAGTGTAAGGTATAGTAAAAATAGGTGTTCAAAAACATCATTGTTATTGTAATAGTTCTTATTTTCATTATTTATGTAGATGAATTAAAGCCAAGAGGTCACAGAGTTATACAAACTGAGGTACCTCCCAACCATAAACAACAGTAACCACAAGTCTGAGCCAGAGTAACATAATAGGATGAAAGATTCCTATACTTGCATGAACTTCTTCAGCAAACCTGAGCAAACACATACTTCTCCCTTTTACCTGTTCTCACACTCAAGAGCTGAAGGAAAGAAAATCAAGCAAGTGAGGATATAGAAGTTTTCCCTGCCAAAAGCTTATTTTATAATCAATGTTTTAAGCACTACTTGAAAGCAACAGAAAACACAACCAAGAAGAAATCTTATTATTCCCTGGCAATTTAGAGAACAAGGTAGGCCATCTGAAAGAAGAGAGAAAGAAATAAACATATTTTTGCCATCATAATCTAATGAAAATCATTCTTCTGGAAGACTTTGAAAGCTAGTTTCTTTAGAATCATCATATATGTATAAAGATTCATAAATGAATATTTCTTCAGATTCTAATGAAGACATGTAAATATATATATGTATATATGTATGTATAGTTCATCCTATAAATGTAGAGAGCAAATATTTCTTCCTATGTATTCTTCTAAAAGCCTATGATTCCAAATAATGTATTTTGAATAAAGTTAATAACTAGACCAGAGTGGCTGGAACATGATTACCTCTGGTCTATGTAGATACATCTGAACCACTGAGAAAGCAATAAAGAGAAAATTGCCACTACTCTAACCTGACCTATGGTCTCATCCAGTGTCTTATGTATAGTGCCTCTTCAGCTCATCCAGTGTCTTATGTATAGTGCCTCTACAGCTGATCTAAATATTTGGCAGGGAGATTAGAATTCATAAACAGTATAGAAACTACACAAATAAGTACCACAACATCATAGATTTCTTTTAAACGCTTGAAATGTCTTTAAAAACTAACTACTAGTAGTAGCTCCTTATATTATCTCTAGGAGTAGTTTCCTAAGGTGCTCCTTGTTAATTTTACCACTCTGAAATGACCACTTCTCTTCAAACCTGTAGGAGTCAATCTGTGAAACAAAGGATGATTATAACCTCTGCGACATAGGATTTTTTTTTTTTGAGAGGTTTTCGCTATAGGGCGCGTGCGCTCGCCAGACAGAGAGAGACATAGAGAC